CTAACGAATTAACGAACGGGCCAGGGACCGCTCGCGATCTTTCCTTCCTCTTCCTTGTCCTATCCTCACCCCTTACTTATACACACACACACACACACCATTCACACGTGTTGGGAGACCAGTCGGAATCTTAGAGCTTGTAAACCGTGCGTATATTGATGTAATATGAAAAAGTAACGGACAATGACGTGCAGCACAGGAACGTAATCCGTGGGACAGGTCTAGCTATCCACGATAGGAAGGCGCCTGGGTTTTCGAGGGTCACTACTGGGGAACCTGTTAAGCGCTCACCAATGGGTCCAGCAAAAATTGGCCGTTAAAAATGGTTTCTAAAAGTGTAATTCAAATCTAATTGTGCTATTTGTTATAAAAAGAAGTACAGTGTGGTTTTTATGACATTTTTAATTTCCGTAAATGACAAAATGCAATTTAAATAACGATATAGTTTAATTTTCCTCTTCTCGGCAAACACCAAAACTTAACTTATCATTCATTCTGCAGAAACTAGCATTCAGTTCTCACAGAATCGAACAAGCAAACTAGACTTGAAGATACAATTCACATTCTGAAGAAACTCCTGAGCGGAGCCGTCTGACGAAAGTTTCAGGTCGTATTTGCGCACGTGGCGTACTTTGCGAGACAACAGATTTCCACAGAAGGGGCGAACGGGATAGTAAACCATAGGAATGCTGTGAAATGAGCGAAGCGAACGCATTGTTTCAGTAAATGATATTGATTAAAATCCTATGTTGTTACCCGATGGATTAGTGATCTCGGCCGTATCAACTGCTTAGGTCATAAGTCCCGTGAGTATAGAGCATGTTTTGTTCCTCGTGAGGTGGGGTTTTCCACCCGCTGGATAGTGAGATCGAGCGCCGAACTAAGTCGGCTTGCGGATATTCTCTAACCAGGTATTTCCCACCAGCGGGCTCCGCTCCATATGGGACAAGCCCTGAGCTCACGACCGATCTCCCGGCATGCGCGATTGTGTAATGCATCTAAGTGTAAACGTAAGGGGTGAGGATAGGACAAGAAAGAGGAAGGAAAGATCGCGCGTGATCCATGGCCCGTTTGTTAGGGTACTGCTCCGGATTTAGCTTGGTATTATTGATCGGAGAAATCACTGAAAACTAGTGTTGAGAGTAGTCGGCTGCTAGAATTCTCCTCCAGACATCGACTGAATTCGACGTAGCTGTGTAGCCAGTGTCGAAAATCCTGCCACCGTCGGAACTCGAACCTAGGGCCTCTCGATCAGAAGCACTGCTGTGCTATTATCCAAGACAGAAATGATTCTCCTGACGCGTCCCGTCTCAGGAAGATATTAAACCAATAGATAACTCTGCCACTTTTCCGCTTAATACATTTCAGTTCAGCTGACATGAATGGACGAGGTGGTTAAGAGCGTGGACCGACTCAGCGCTTTGTTCCGCAGGGCCGCGGGTTTGAGTCCTGCTTTGGGCATGGTTGTTGTTCCTCGTCTCTCATGTATGTGTTGTCGCTGGCGTAACTACCGCCGGTCCGGCAGGTGCTATTGGAGCCTCCAAAAGCATATTTTTATTTTTGTCTAACTGAACACGCTTTAAAGGCCCCTTCTGAAAGGGATTTTTTATTACCATAAATCAACTAGTGTAAAGTCTGAATTACGTAGTTTATTATGAGAACGCGAAGATGCTTTTTTTTAAATTTGTCGTCCCGGGGTTCCAATTATTTATTGCTTCATTTAAAGTTTTGGGAGGCACTATTTTGGATTTGATTACATGTGATTTGAAACGTTAGAACATAAAGGAAGGTTCAAGTGAAAGGATTCAGATGCTATATGGGGTGATCCCTCTTTGGGACCCCCTCTAAAATATTAAAAATAAAACTTTAGCATATTGTTCATAGAGAATAAAGTGACAAACTCGTTAAAATCGACGTTATAGATAAATTTGTCTAAGCGAAAGTTATCAGGGCTCGATTCTAAATTTTGTGATTGATTTTATTATTAATAAAGTTTCTTTCAATTAGTTTTCGGCATGCTTTTTTTCTTTTGACATTTGATGAGGGAGGCGGTAATTTAGTTTTTGAACCGGTGCCCCGGAAGGGCTAGTTACACCACGGGCTGAGGGCCTGGAGTTCCCCAGATCGGATGAGCCCTCAAGTGTGTTGGTATCTTAACTATGGTCGAATACGCACCCTATTGAGACTTAAACGTTAACCGGCGGTCGACTGAAAGAAGCCAGAAGAAAAAAGAAGTTAAAATCTGTGGCTGCTTAAGAAAGAACGATTTACCAAATGTGTCTGGACATTGACCGCTTAGATAGGTAGCTACTGAAAAGGGTGAATATTTAGAAGAATCTTATGGAAAACTCAATTCCATGAAAAATGGTCTTTAACTGAGATGGCCGCTTAATCAAGTTGGCCTGTGCAGCAAGTCTCACAGAAATTGTTACCTATGTTCTGGAATGTATGAATAAAAATAGTACTCAAATTTTAAAAAAAATTGTTTACTATATGTTTATACTTCAGAAAGGAAGCTTGAACTAGCAAGCCATTGGAATTCTGTGGAATGAGAAAACGAACGTTTTAGTGTTTTGTTAAGAAATATCTGTTAAAGACATATGTTATTAACAGAAACAGAAAGTAATCCTCCGCGAGATGAGTGACTGTAAGTCCTTATTCAAAGTAATCTGACTACATCTCATCGCAGAAAGATATTATAGCAACAGTGGTCGTCACGATTTTCCCACTTCTTGTTATAAAACAGATCAAAATCGCCTTAGGTGACAGCTTAACGAAGGTCAATTTACTAATTGCTGCCGTTGGCCGCTTAGCTAAGTGGCTGCTGAGGGAAATTAACACGTGACGTGAAAAAAATCAATCGGTTTCAAGAAAAAAACTGTCTGTTAATAAAAGTGAACGCTTAATAAAGATGACCATTGTTCATGTTCCACTGCACTAGATAAAAAACGTATAAAGTACCCCCCCCCATACACACACATACACCTGAAAGTTGGAAAACGGATATTTAAAATCACTTTTTTTGTACAATAGCGTAAAAATGGATTTCTTTTGAGAGCCACGAGGGTTACACAGCCACAAGCGGTTACTTTTAGGGCCCCAGGGATGCCGGAGGTTTGATGTTTCACCGGATTCCCCATTTTCACAGTACACTCGTGAAATGGTCGTACGAGAAAACCCCAATTAGATCGCGACCTCAGAGATGCTATGTCCCTGTCTTGCGCCGTCTATAACGCCACGTTCAAACTCACTTAAATCGTGATAACCTGTCATTGTAGCAGCAGTAACCGATTGAACAACTTTGCCTGACTTATGAAGTCGTGGTAGTGCGGTTATCTTATGTAGTCGTGGGCGACCGGAGCGCCGTATTTTGGTTTGTTCCAGATCTCTTTATACGCATGGCTGTACTATTTTTTTGGCTCTGCGGTGTATTATGTACCGCTACGCGTGCGTGAAGTTAGTCTTTTGTAAAGCCATCTGAAAATCGCTGGAAAAGTTAAAGAAGACTAAGATTGTGAACGGAGACGGTGCTTTGTTTCGATAACCCTGGGAAAACCGAAGAAACTATTATTCGTTTTAGCAACATGTTTTGTATAATCGAAGAAACGTGTTTTTATTTTGTGTGCGAAATGATCCTAAACATTTTTACATCGACCTATCGGCCGCGGTACAAAATGTACTTTATATTGACCATACACAGCATTAGTTCACGTCATTAATAAAAATAACTAGGGTATGTAGGACATTCTAAAAAGCTCCGACTAGGAGCAAGTCGTGGCAGCGAAGTGAGCTAGAGGAGGAGGAGGATGATCCAGTCTAAACGTTGGAAGCAAGTGGCGAAGCTATAATTGCATCCCTCCCCGCAAGGGTGCAAGTAATGTTAACAGTACAATTTTATTAAGTTAAGTATAAATATTTCAATAATTTTTGTATGTCTAGTAATTAAAAAATAAAAAATGCTATTTGAAATATTATTTAAAAATAAACAAGGAAGAATTTAAATAGAGATAATAAGAATAACTTAAACTGTCTTGATATGATATGTAATTCTTGTACTTGATATGTAATTTTTGATTCGCTCTTAATAGCTTTTCAATAGGAACATTCATTTTGTTTGATCCCTACCCTGAGACTTGCTTTGTGCGTTACTATTCTAATCCTTCTTTAGATTTTAAATTAGCATATCTGTATAACATGTTTCAATTAAACATTACTCTTCATTTTCCCATATCTTCGATTATTTCTCGCTAAGTTCGTCGTTTTGCAGTTCTACATGGTGGCTTTTTTAAATTGAATTGAATTTTATTTTTTCGAAACTTCGGATGTTGTTTCTTGCAAAATGATAATTCTATACTTTCATTTTTAATTTCATGAAACATGTTGTGTACTTTTTAGTTCTTCTGATTGTTGAGTTGTGGCCTTTTGTGTTTTACATGAAAAAATTTCGTTTGAAAGGTATATTTTTCAGGAGACAAAATCGAAAATATTTTCCATGAACTAACTATATTAAAATTATCATCTTTTTTAGAGTGGTCTGCCTTTAGATTTCACAAAAATTCAAATTAGAAAAAAAAATTGTCCGATGATTCGCAAAATCAAGTACCGTTCTTCGTAGTTTATAATATAATATGTACTGATACGTAATAACTATGACACTTAAATAGTTCAAAAGAACAAGATTATATATATATATATATATATATATATATATATATATATATATATATATATATATATGTGTGAGTTGAGTACAAGTATTAGAAACCCAATTCATCAAAATGGTGCACTATAAAATATTGTTGAAAACGTACATAGTATAATATAATAATCTAATTGCTCTTGCAGGCAAGTTATAATCGAATCTTTTGTAATGTCTTCACCCCGTGAGAAGCATACTATTTAAATCTCCCAGTCTTTTCCACGCGACCCACAATTCAAATTGAGCGGGTTATAGTACTCTGAATGCCCGATAGAAGCGCGAGTGCGTAAAGGTCTCTCGCGGTGTTCTCGACATTGGCGTCAGAGAGCGAGAATGCTCTGTTGATGTATTGCGAGTGGTTGTGTTCTTGCCATTAGGGCGTTGTGTTCCTTTATTTGTTTGTGTGTTGTGCGTGATTGAATTGTAGGGTGTAAACCATAAGAAGAGTAAAGGTAAGGAATATAAGATTACGGATAAAAATTCTTTAGTGAGTAAAATCTCCGAGGTTTTAATGTGATAATGGGATAATGACATCTATAGACAGCTTGTCATCCCAGTGACTACTGCACATTACAGTACTGTGAGGGCCTTAACATCAATGAGTTATTTTGTTGTCGGAAGTGGAAGGGATGATTCGGGGGAGAGAGTGATGAAGAATTGGTTTATGCAGTATATACCGTTCCAGATTCACTAACGATTAGTGACTTCCTATTTTCAGATTGCGCATTACTGCATAATGTTATTAATGCTACTAATGTGTTTGACAGTTTACAATGCTATTTGACAACTCGGTGATCATTGATAAAGTGCTTTCTTGAGTAATTTCTTTTTCTTGAATGAATATTTAGATATTGTTTTTTGTGATACGATCTTTCCAAACCTTCCTTCTTGCCAGTACATTTTTTAAATTGTTTTTTAATATCGTGTAGTTTTTGTTGGAAAGGTTAAGTGCACTTGCAAGCATTGCATTTCTCTTTCTTTCGACCCTAAATGTTAATTTATCCTGAGGTTCTTCGTGTGTTCTGTCATTTAGAGTTAACGAGCACTTACAGAAACTGGATCGTAAAGAGAATGTTCGTACATGCTCCGTGGAAGTCATTTAACATGTGGGAAAGATGCACGTCCTAAGGAAGTGTCAGAGTTTGTTCCTAACTCATTGCAGTTTACGAGTTGTTTGTTATCGAGGAAATTTGAACGAATATAATTTATTTTTTTTTATTAAAAATGTTAATATTTTGTGGGAAAAAGGACATTTGTCATGACATTTAAAGCCCAAACTCGCACTATACACATATCTACAAAAATTGTTTTAATGATTTTTACTAGCGGTTTTTTTTCTGTAAAAGCAAAACTCCGTTTAAGCAGAATAGTTGTTGGTTTTGCATTACATGAACCCCAAGACCACATATACCGTCCTTGAATTCTTCTATTGGAAAACCTAATTAACTTTCGGCCAGGATAAAAGACATTTGCTGTGGCCTCCTTAACTAGTCTAGGGAACTTGATCATCTACTTAATTTTGATTTTCCCCCACGCTATCCCCCTTAGCAAGCGAGAGCCGCATCGCAATGTGATGACATGTCAACGCTACAGCCAGTGGGCTCTCCGGATCCCGGTCAATGCTCCATCGGGTGGTCTTGATCGCGCCCGAGGGAATGCAATTGGTGGGAAGATCGTCGCTTCAGGAGCGTACAGAACACTTGCACAACACGGGTTGGTCTCGAAACCCGATGTCCCTCCCTTGAAAGAATATCTTCCTAGCGAAAAAACGGCGCGGTGGGAGAGAATGGTTTTTCTAATACTAACAAAGCGTTTTAGAGGTTACAATTATAATGATTATTGTGATTTATTTTCCTCTTTGTTTAACGTTAGAAATGTTTATAATTGTCACCACCCTGTCACCCAATTTTTGGACGCAATTACGCTCGGAAATATGTTGGGCAGCAGTAGAGAAATCTTAGTTGTGATCATGTTACTGAATGGAAAATGTATTTTAATAATTATATTTGATCAAATAATTGGTAACCCCCCACCGACGACAAATGTGATTGTTAAAAAGGAAATAACAAACCACCGACCCATTACTACTCCCATCCATGATGGCTTAGAGTAGATTTCGCGTCATTTCGTGTGGGTTGCATGCTATTCCTTTTAAGTCGGGTGATCACACACAGATAAGGGCGGTGGCGGCTGAGCGGGCCCGGGGGTGGGGTGGGGAGGGGGGCGGCCTCCGAGGGGCCACGGCCCCCTGCGCGCCACGCGGCCTGCTCCACTTGGCTCGCCGCCCGCTCTCCCACAGCCGCCGCCGCGGCCGCGCCGGAGCGCTCTGGCATTTTTTGCCGGGGCCGCCCCGCGGCCACATGGGGGGCACATGGGGTTTGCTCGGCGAACTTTTCGGCGACTACACTCTCGCTGCTGGGCCGGATTGATGAATGGGAGAAATTATGGATGCGATCGCGGTTGAGAGAATTGCGAAGTCCGCGAAGAATGATCCCCCCCCTGCCCCCGACTTTAATGCATGTGCAATACGCGATTATTGCTTTTGGCGCATTTTCACTTCTCTCATATATAAGTAACTTGCAATAAAAATAATATGTATGATATTTATTTTCAAATTTGCAATGATTCTCTTTTTGTATTTTTATATGTATTTGGAGAAAAAAAACCAATTATTTTTTGCTTTTCATTTAACTCCAAAATTTGGTAATAAATAACGCACATGGCATTGAAAACGTGTACGAGATCATTTTTAAAATGTGATTGACGTTTAAATTAATTTTTTTTCTGTGCAATTGTATGGCACATGCAAAACCAGATTGTTGTGTAGAAATTTTTTAGCGGCATTATCAATAACTACTTGATATGTTGAAAAGATTTGTATGTTTATAAAAGCAATTTTCCGTTTTCGAGGATTTAATTAACGAGCCAAGCTCGTATTATTACTTACTTTCTAATCAACCTATTAAAAAGTTGTTATGCTGCTAAACTTCGATTCTTCCATACTTAAGCGTCGAATTGTTTGACACATCTTAGGGGGTCTGATATCAGAGAAGTGCTTTCAAGATCGTTTGTCCGAGTTTAGCTCAGAGCCATTCTTTCCGTGCCTCTGACGATCCTTGAGTTTCAGACTCGCCGTTGGCAGATTTTCGACACTAGCTAAATAGCTAAGTAGACTTCAGCCACTGTCAGGAGGAGAATTCAAGCTTTTCAGTTTTCCGAGTTTTTCCGATCAATACCAGGCAAATGCCAATGCAGTACCCTTACAGACGGGCCACAAACTGCACATGACTTTACTTCCTTGTACTTTCCTCTCCACACACATACACACACATACACACACATACACACACATACACACACACACATACACACACATACACACACACACACACACACACACACACACACACACACTGCAGTGCCTTATACTACAAGTGTCGCGAGACCAGTCGGCTGTCGCGGTGCCCCGCTGGAGGGAGTTACAGAAGGGAGGAATTCTGCGCGAGCCGACTGTAGGTCAGCACCGGATCCCACAATTAAGCGGGGAAGGGGTCCCCATCCGCCCGCACGCCCCCTTCTGTGTCTATCGGTCGGTCTGACTGTTCGTCGGTCGGTCGATCCGTCTGTCCGCCAGCCGCTCCCTCTGTACGACAATCCGTCCGTCCGTCTATCAGGTCGGTCGGTCGGTGATCCGTTTGTCCATCGGTCGATCGGTAAGTTGGCCTGTTCGACCTGTCAGTCTGTCTGTCCGTGCGCCGGTTGTCCTGTAGAGAAAAATGCTCTGAATTCTATAGTACAAGTGATATTTTATTTCATTTTCTGAATTTCCAATGATTCGAGAAATTATGTAGTGATGTAAGGTCCGTTGTGAATATTTACAACGAATGCTGATAATTATCATTCAGAAAATTATTTATTGACTTTATGGTAGCAGACGGCAGAAAAGTGACGTTCTCTCGTTAACAACTGGTCTCAGATTTCGAGATATTTTATAATATTACGAACGTAACCGTTACAAATAATGCGAGGGTGTATATGCTGTTTGGATCTATATGAGCTAGGTGAGCTTTTTGAGTAAAACGTATCAGCGTTTTTGACATCGTTTCATAACGTTTCCCTTGGTTGGTCGACCCTCTCCTTAACGACGACATTGGGTCAAATACCCCTGCAACATATCCTGACTACGACCGTTTCCAGGCGCATTGAAATTCAGTGGTAACAAGTCTATAAAACCATGCCATTTCCGATCAGATGTCTTTTTTCAGAGTCGATTTGCTCATAGCAAAGAAGTAGAAACACATAGTCCGTTAGCATTTTTTATGAAGAAATTGTTAACAATGATATTCAAAATGGAATAAAGTAGAACGATTTAAGTTCAAAAAATGTTAAATGTTTTTCGAATCGAAGATACTGTGAAATGCCAGATCTTTCGGTATCACTTAGGAGCAAAAATAAAATACAGCTGAAAATTAATCGTTCTGGACCTGCGTATGAGATATTTACCACCCAATCGTTCTAATTTTTCCTGGCAATGAAATATTTCAGTTTTTCATATCGAAATCACTTACCAACAAAACGTAAAACGGGATACTAAATCCAGAGCAGTGTTTTTCTTATATTCAGGATGAACAGAAAGATGATTCTATGTATACGTGTTAACTGTGTAATATCAACGACACTATTTTAAGCTAATTCTCATAAATTTTGCCTTTTGCCGCGAAACTATTCCTTTGATTCGAAAAACGATTTAAAAAATATCATATAAGTATTTCTTTTATTATCCACTCACACCTCGTCTTATAACTTACCTCCTAAGTTACGTAAATATAAAACGCAATTGTGGTTGCAAATTTGGAAATTGTTTAGATTTTGTGGTGCACAAAACATTTTTCATTTATTTGCTCCGAATAAGGAGGATTTTGTCCTTATAAAATTAAAATGATACTCTGTGCGCGACGACCCTTGAACTTGTATCTGAGGATCTGCGCAGATCAACTGATTGCGGAGAATTGAAAGTATCAGTTAATCTTTTGCTGTTCCTCTCGCGAACGGGGAAGAACAGGGTGCACTTGTACTTGTCCTGCCTCGTCTTCGCGTGTCATTTCGCAAGGGAATGATCAAGATAGAGATTGCATTTCGGAATTTATTGTTGGTACAATGTTAGCCCCAATGTTAGTTTGCGTAATCTAGAGTGTAGAGAATAGAGAGAAACCATTTCTGCACAGATACTTGTTTAAGGTATTAATAAGGAGTTTTGAGTTTTTAATTTTCGTGGTATAGTACAAGAAGATGGGTCGTGCCAAAACTGTAAATGATTCATCTCGTGTAGGTGTTTGCCGCAGTCATGGATTTTATTTGAAAAGCAATAACGTTACTTTATGTAAATTCTGTAATGTATTTATTGAGTGAGAACGAAGTGATTCGTACGACATGATAATGATAAGGAAAAAAG